CCAAGTTTAGTTTGGCCTTAAACTACATTCCTTGTGACATGAGGGTCACTGGATGGTGGAAGAGAAGATTAAAAGAAGGTTAACCCTGGAGAATTCACCTCAAAAGTCATAGCTGATTTGCTGAAAAACCAAGCTTTCTAAAAAAACTGAGTGGAACTACTTCCCCGAATAAGCTATCTTGCCTTCTAATCATTAACCCAACATTGGTTATATTTTGGTTATAAGCTACCTTGCAAATTAATACCCAACATTGGCTATATTATCAGGCCTGCTGGCTCTTCAAGAATCAATGATGGTTTCTTTTTGGTTGTTTCAGGACAAGATCAAAGCCATCAGAGTGAGTCAAACTCTGATGATCAAGGACCTCATTCCAGAACAAAACCGGGGGTGCGGTTGTGGTGGCTGTCATTTTGACTCCTCTTTAATTACCCCCTGATCAGAGAAGAAGGGAACAGATTCCAGAACAAGACAATCTGAATCAATGTAACTTAGGAAAGCTTTTGAGTAAGGAAGATCTCCAACAACACTCTGTGTCTATTTATTACCAATCTTTACCATCACATCCTTAAAGAGATGAACCACAAAACAGCCATAGTGACAAAGTGCCTAGAGGTGCCTTCTTTTGAGGAGGGGCTCTCTAGGACTTCATCTTGATTCTGGAGATGTTAGCGAATGCCACCATCGCTCCTTTTCATCATGCCCAACTCTGCGTTGGATTAAGACTTTTTGAATAGGTGTTCCTTTCCTTCACATCAGAGGTGGACAACCTACAAATCATCTAGAAAGGACATCATAGAATTCTAGGGTCCCCTCACCTGTAGCCTTCCAATTAGGTCAACTTTGCTCAAATTAAGAGAGTCATTTTTCAGGCTGTTAACGTTTATGGGGCACCCACATTCACACCAACTTCCAAAGCAGCTCAATTCAACCAGGACTATCAAGGCAGGATCTGGTTCTGTGTTTGCCAGAAGGTCACATCTCCTAAATGATTCAGCGCCGTGACGCAACCCAACTACAATCCTACTGGATGGTTTCGTAGGTTGAAGATATAAAACGTGACATGGAAGCATCAATCAGGGCTTACCCAGTGACTAACTACTTGGGAGTAAGCCCTGTGCAAGTCTGATTAAAGGGCATCGCTTCTGTCCTGGATGCCAAAATGACCAGGGAAAGTGAGAAGTGAAAATTAAAATTTGTTAATTAAAAAAAAATAGTTGCAGGGTTCCTGACAGCTTGGAAGAAGGCTTCCATTAGGGGAAGCATTTTCACCTTTTAGGAAGTTGAGCTGGTTGTCTCTCACAAGCTGGATGAATTTTTTTAAAAAAAAAAAAAGCACAAGGATTAACTCGCCAACCTCTTTTGTCAGAAGATAAAGTCATGCTTCCATCTTATTCTTTTTCTCAGAGATCAAAAGTTTTGTCAAGGTGCTATGGAGTCAACCCAGAAGTCTGTTCATGGTGTCTTCAAGTCTTGAAAAAAGTCTACAAGAGATGGGTGGTTCTATCATGGACCTTGAAGGTGGACATCAGGAGATCTAGATTCTAGATAATATATAAGGTCCTTCAACACTAACTATTTTTATTCCCACAATCATGCCATGGGATAGATTAAGATTGATGTAGTCCTTCCCACAGCTTCATGATGGAGTAGCAATAGCATTTAGACTTATATACCGCTTCATCACCTGTCTGAGATGATATAGTCCTCCTGCTTGAGCAGGGGGCTGGACTAGAAGACCTCCAAGGTCCCTTCCAGTTCTATTCTATTCCTATTCTATTCTATTCTCACCGTAGTTCTCCCTGGTCCTAAGCCATCTTTCTATCCATTACATCACATCAGGCCGGCCTCTACAACGAAGTTCAGATGGAGGTTGCTAAAGACCATCAGACACCCTTCAATCTTGCAGAATCTTTCTTTTCATTAAGAGAAAAGATGGGTTTTGGGTCAGAAACAACCAGAGAGGGAAATCACTTCACCAAACACATAGAAGCAACCTTCATTCCATGGAACTAAGCTGGGAAGCTCTCAACTGGCCATGGAGACCTAAGACCTTGACAATTTCTGCCCCTCCGCAGATTGGTGATGGAAGAAGCTACATATCTACGGAGGTCCTCAAGTCATCCAGGACGTGCCTGTCCCAAAGGTGCTTGTTCAAAAGGCAACTGGTCTTTGTTTTCCCTTGAAGACGTTTCACTTCTCATCCAAGAAGCTTCTTAAGTTCTGACCAACAGTTCAGTCAGAACTGAGGAAGCTTCTTGCATGAGAAGCAAAATGTCTTCAAGGAAAAACAAAGCCAATTGCCTTTTGAATAAGCCCTTTTGGGGACATGATGGAAGACACATTTTTGTCTGCCTCGTCTTGCCACATTTCTGAACTGCCCTTGACAGCTCATTGTCCAAAAGACATCTCTGGTCTTCTTTTTTTTCCCCTGGAGGTGTTAGCTACAGGTTTTGTAATTGAAAATTAGCTCAGGATTGGAATGAGTAATGCTCCAGCTGAATTATTGCAAGATTTTTTTCCTGGGTTGGGCCCCTGACTTCATTATAATGGGACACACCTCGCCCCGGTTATTGAATGTGTCTCAGGCAGATTCCATAAGTCAATATGAGCTGACATTGTGGTTTTATGGACAGATATTTATTTTTCCTTTGCCAGATAACATCTGTTGCATGTCTCCCTCAGCATAGTGTCATGCATAGATTAAACTAAGTGGTGGCAATGAAGACGATCAAGCAGAACATGGAAACAATCTTGATCGTCCTCTTCCATCTTTTGAGTTGTATCTCACGTGGCTTCTTGGAGATGATGGGGGAGAATGATCATCTATGAGCTATTAGCACTTTTTTTAAAAAAAAAACAAAAACAAAATTAATGGTGGCTTTCCTGGTCAATCTGAAGCTAGGCAAGTTTATTTGGCCAACCTTCTTAGAATAACTCCATAATATATGTGTGTGTGTGAGAGAGAGAGAGAGAGAGACCCGGCGGAATTAAGAGGTCTTCTAAATTTGGTAGACCACAAGGGAAAACCAGACTTAATCTTCATGTCAATAAAAGAGACAATTGGAGGAGGAACAGGAGAGAAACTTTTGTGTTGGATTTGTTCAGTTGGGCTTCATTCAGATGAGTGCACAAACCCAAGTCCATTCTTATTTTCAAGATGTCCTCTTCATTTAATGTCGCTATTTTCCCTTCAAAAGTATGTCCGAAGGTGCTGAGAGTGGACAATGCTTTCCACAGTTGATTCCTTCTGGCATAGTCAGAAGGAACTGTAGGGGGAAAAAAAGATAATATCGCTGGATCTATGATCTAAGGCAGGGGTAGGCAACCTTGGCTCTTTTATGAGTTGCTGGCTCAGGAATTCTGGGAGTTGAAGTTCACGAGTCATAAAAGAGCCAAGGTTGTCTACCCCTGACCTAAGGGATCTGGCATCTCCATATTTTACAGAAACATTGGTAGAAACCAGCTTGCAGGACTCACCTGGATCTCCTGCAGTTGCAAAGGCCAAGATAAATAGACTTGCAAGACATTCCACATTGAATATTAGCATCAAGATGAAAACATTCTCCAAGATGTTTGCTAAATTTAATTAATCAAATCAGCTATCTCAGGAATTACACTGTCAAGGAAGCCTGCTGACTGGTAGTTTTGCCCAGAGGGTAAAAATCAGAATTGATGAACCAGCATAGATACATTTTGAAATCTTTGCAAGATGGGGCAGATGGTAAGGACAATCTATCCACCTTTGTCAGCAATATTTCAATGTCAGTTGCTGACTGTCAATCCTGGCTCCCTTTTGCCACTGGTGAAAAGTCCAGCGGTCTTTGACAAATTGAGTTGAATCTCTAAGAAACACCCAAAGAATTAGGAATGGGCAAGAACGATGAAGTTTTGGAATAAAAATTTAAGATATTTCAGCGCGTGTAGAACAGTAGTCTTATAGTCAAATGGGAAAATCCCTGTAGAGGAATTAGAATAACAGAACTGGAGGGGACTTTGGAGGTCTTCTAGTCCAACTCTCTGCCCAAGCAGGAGACCCTAGACCATTCCAGACAGGTGGCTGTCCAGTTTCTTCTTAAAAGCCTCCAGGGATGGAGCACCCACAACTTCTGAAGGAAACCATTCCACTGATTAATTGTTCTCACTGTCAGAAAATTTCTCCTTAGTTCCAGGTTGGTTCTCTCCTTAATTAGTTTCCATCCATCGTTTCTTGTCCTGCCTTCTGGTGCTTTGGAGAAGAGGTGGACTCCCTCTTCTTTGTGGCAGCCCCTCAAATATTCGAAGACTGCTCTCATGTCACCCCTAGTCCTTCTTTCCATTAAACTAGACATACCCAATTCCTGCAACTGTTCGTCATATGTTTTAGCCAGAAGGAGTTTGTGGGAAGATCTAAAATCATTCTGAGATTTAATTCAGAAGACATTTGGTTGAATCTCTAAAGGGAATGTGCGCTTCCAATCAAATTATGAGGTCAGATTCAACTGTAAAATCGGACTGATTGCTTCATATGATGGTCTTTCTCCATGGATAGAAAAAGCTCTATTCACAGTCCATCCATTTCCCATTGCCAACCCAGAATTCTGGAAACTTCAGATGTTAACCATGAAAAGATGGATAATGTGTAAAATTCAAACAGAGAAGATATAAGATAGAGAACATTCTGATAGTGTCTGATGAGGAGGAGAAGGAATCCCAAAAGTTAGATGCATGGAGGACACCATCCATTCTGAGATAATATTTCCAAGTCAAACTTCTAATTCTCTTCAAGCAAAGAAAGGGACAGATGGGTCCACCAGAGGTCCCCTTATCCCCTTCCTCACTTTTCTCTTTCTAAGCGTAAACCTTGCTGGTTCTGATGGTTGAGGGCTCTAGGAACCTCTCTCTGTCATGTGGGTCAGTGAAGAAGATTGACAAATGTTGCATCAAGTCATCTCGGAAGCAATGTTGAAGAAGGGTGTTGCCCTACTGAAGAAAGACAAGTGATTAATCCAGCCTTGTGAAAAGTTAGAGTCACCCTGATTTGCACACACTATCAGAAGGGCTGGGCTTGGGGACAATATAAAGGAGTTTGACATTGGGGAACGACTTAATTCCTTCCAGTATTATCTCAGAGACCTGTCAGGTAAGACTGTTTCTGCTCTTAGCACTTCTCGATAAAGTTCTAATTTTATCCTGATACTCTACATTTCTGGAGTTGCTTGGATAATCTCTTTCAGCTCTGGTGCTGTTGTTATTGCTGCAGCTGAAAGGAGCTCCTCCTCATCTTGCTACTGGGGTTACTACTCACAGTGCTGCTACAGTGCATAGCTACTATTCCTATGACTAACGTTTTATGGTAACTGCATTAAGGGTAATCATCCAACTGGGCATTTATTGTACAAAGATGGTTCATTCTGCATCTTGTGTTGATGGAAAGCTGCTAATGGGCCACCTTTGGAAGATGGGAAACAAATTGTAATAATAACTCTTAGTCAGAATAACAGAATTAGAAGGGACCTTGGAGGTCTTCTAGTCCAGCCCCCTGCTCAGGCAGGAGACCCTGTACCATTTCAGACAAATCGCTGTCCAGTCTCTTCTTTAAAAACCTCCAGTGATGGAGCACCCAAAACTTCTGGAGACAATCTTTTGGGTTCCTTCACCGGGTTGTGGAGCTGTTAATGATAAGTGGTTTGAACATCCCTTTCTTACAACTATTTCGGGTCTTGTGGGAAGGTGAGAACATCAGGTGTGAACCTTTTCTCTCTAATTTGCAGATTTTTTTTTTTGGAGTGAAAATGGCGTCTCCCCAGCACCAGCATCAATGCAAGCAAACTCCCACTTTGCCGCCAGAGCTCTGCAAGAAAGCACCATGCCCATTGGAGCAGCAATGCAAGGAGCCACCAGTGGTGGTCATCCCGACTCCATGTCCAGAACCCAAGCCACGTTCTCCACAGGAGCCTCCGTGCAAGGAGCCACCAGTGGTGGTCATCCCAACTCCGTGTCCTGAGCCTAAGACACATCCTCCACAGGAGCCTCCATGCAAGGAGCCTCCAGTCCCAACCCCATGTCCTCCTCAGGAGAAACAGTCTTGTCAACAGAAGTCTCAATGCAAGGAGCCACCAGTCATCCCAACTCCATGCTCAGAGCCCAAACCCCCACAAGAGCCTCCACACAAGGAGCCACCAGCACCATCTCCATGTCCTAAAGAACCAGAACCATGTCCTCCACGCAAGGAGCCACCAGCACCAGAACCATGTCCTAAAGAACCAGAACCATGTCCTCCACGCAAGGAGCCACCAGCACCAGAACCATGTCCTCCTAAAGAACCAGAACCGTGTGCTCCAAAGGAGCTAACTCCAGATTGTCAACAGAAGACTCAATGCAAGCAGCCTCCGATTGTGGTCATCCCAACTCCATGCCCGGAGCCCAAACCGTGTCCTCCATGCAAGGAACCACCAGCACCATCTCCATGTCCTCCTAAAGAACCAGAACCATGTCCTCCATGCAAGGAACCACCAGCACCATCTCCATGTCCTCCTAAAGAACCAGAACCATGTCCTCCATGCAAGGAACCACCAGCACCATCTCCATGTCCTCCTAAAGAACCAGAACTGTGTCCTCCAAAGGCATCAACTCCAGATAGTCAACAGAAGACTCAGTGCAAGCAGCCTCCATGTCCAGAACCCAAACCGTGTCCTCCACAGGAGCCTCCATGCAAGGAGCCACCAGTTGTGGTCATTCCATGCCCAGACCCCAAACCGTGTCCTCCTCAGGAGCCTCCATGCAAACAGCCGCCTCCCTGTGACCAGCAGCAGAAGAAGCAGCCATCTTCATGGCCGCTCCAGAATAAATGAGCAGGTCAGGAAAAAAAAACTAGTGAAGAATCCATTTCTCCAACTCTACATCTCACCATGTCAAACATACCTCATCTTTGTATCCCTTTGAAATGCTTTAAGAAATCCTTCTAACGTTGCACGAGAGGAATCACAGCAAACAATGTAAGTGTCCATCAAGGTGACTTTGTGTCCATTTCCAGCCAGAGTGGACTTTTTCAAGAGAGGTGCGACAGAATCTCCCAATTTCTTTGGGCATTTTCTCTTTATGTTAACCACACTGTTACATTTATTCTATCGTTTTCCTGATGGTCTCATTCATCTGTAAAGTTTGTAATTACTTAACTATTCTTTGTACCATTTATAGGTCCCCAAAGGAGGTGTGCTGTGAGACTCAGTGGGGTTTTTTTTAACACCAGAAATTCTTGAAGAATATGGTAGGGTTGGGTGTCAGTGAAACATAAAGCTAGCTTAGATCCCTCCAAGGAGAGAGAAGGTCCTCCTTGTTATTTAAGCTCCTCCCTTTCACTGTCACTAGAGATCCGTTCTGTGACTACCCTATTCAGCTATTTGTCCGACCTTTAGAAAAGGCAAAGTCCTAGGTCAACTAAAATGCCAGATCTGCTCTCTGTAGAGATGAAATTGTGGGTTGGTGGCTCTCCAGAGGTTGATAGACTATCATTGGATCAATGGCCAATAATCTTACTAGGATGGGTAGGAATTGGACTACAAACCATATCCCAAAGAGCCATAAATTCTTCATCTTGGTTTGGAATGTCCAACGAACTCTTAGGTCCTGCAAGATGTCTTTCAAAAAGACCTCAGTTGTCTTCTGGAATGGCAAGACCCATCAGAAGACACGGGGAGGTTCTTTAGTCTTCGGGGAGAAGCTCAGGAGAAGCTCAATCTATCAACTGCCAATGAAATATTGGGGAAAGAATGAAACTCTTCAGGGTTTCTCCATCAGAGTTATACCCCAAAATAATTAACCTTCAGAAAGTCATCGTTTTCAGTACAGCAATGCGGGTTTATTTTTATTTTTTTAATCGTGAACTGGATTGCAGGAAGCTGGAGGACACCTGTATCATCAAGTGGGTCTCCTCTTCATGGGGGTCAACATGTTGCTATGAAGATGCTGAGTCTGTACACTTCCGAATTTATATTTAACCAACTTGTAGATAAATCAAATGAATAAAGGAAAAACAATGAATCGGTTGACTTTTGTTTTGAAAAAGAAAATCCACATCCAGTTTGGGTAAAAAAAATAATAATAATCTGCATCAAGGTTGAGTCCTGGGAATTCAGCACTGACTTTAATTAAAAAAAAATACTAATTATACGAAGCAAATAGAGTGTCGTAAAAAATGGGGATAAAGCAGACAGATGTAGATAAGTTGAAGTCTTCCAGATTAATCCCCAAACTAGGCCAACAGAGGTTAACCTCAAGCAGATGACAAACAGTGGCGATACACCTGCCAGATGTGAGGGAGTGTTCACGTCAACTCTTATGCAAAGCAATAAGAATTTTGAGATCTGGTACTAAAATGAAAACTGAATCATTGGCGAGGTCAAGTTCAGGTTTCTCACAAAGTCAAAGTTCACGATGTGTAGATCAAGTAGAACAGATTTAGAATGTGGAAGCATCCTGGCCTTAATTTTTGAGAGTGGAGACGACCTCAAGCGGACAGCAGAGAGAGGTTTGATGGTGGACACTTATGTCTTCATTTTTTTAATTGTAACCCACTGACAGGAAGGAAGAACTGTATATTTCACAGAAAAGTGTCCTGGAGAATATCAAGCACTGTTAGATGATCACCTTGAGTTTAGGACTCCAGAACCATCAGCAGAAGTAGAATTAGGGGGCCTTCAAAAGACTGAACAGGGACAAGGAGGAGACAATCCCACCCCACTCCAAAGGCTGTCAACCATCAGTGTTATAGCAGAACTAGTAGATCAGAACTTAGTCTGGAGAACTTCCAGATGAGTCCACTTCAACCCACCCATCATGATCCTATAGGAGAATTCTGGGAGTTGAACAAATGGGAGATGCTCTACTAGATAATCACCTAGATCAACTTGATGCTCTACTAGATCAACAATAGAGAAGGCCTTCGATAAAGTGACAGGTCTACTCAAGTGTAGATACCTATTCCAAGCAACCTTTTGATGAATTAAGCCCTAGAGGCTAAAAAATTTAAATTTGCTGGGAAGCGATTGTAATTTATCAAGGAAGAAATACTGTACTGATAAGAGGTCCATTAACAATGGATATGCAAAAAGAAAATTACAATATTGCTAAGAACGAGGGAAGGTGCTCTCAACTCTGCTGATGCGTGCACAACATAGGAAGGCTAACAGTACACAATTAGTCTCCAGTTTGTATACTGCTGTATACTAGTTTGTAAGAAGAGCAGATTTACTGCCCCAACGGGTTTATTCACTTTCTTTCTTCCTGATCTGTGGGAGCTGGCTAGTTCTTATCAAAATAAAAATATTCCTGCCTTCTTCCGCTGAGGCAGGATTCGACACTCTTGCAAAATTCATATCAGGAAGCTTTTTTAAAAAAGATCTCTGCAGGCTGAATTTGGGCAGGAAGAAAAGGAGAAGGTTGAGATAAGATGTGGGAACTCATTTGAGGAAGAAGGAAGACAATGAGGGAGGGAGGAAGGGAGGGAGGAAGGAAAGAATATAGCTTTACAGCCCTCTCTAAGCAGTTTACAGAGTCAGCCTATCTCCCCCAACAATCTGGGTCCTCATTTTACCGTCCTTGGAAGGACAGAAGGCCGAATCAATCTTGAGCCGGTCAGGATCGAACTCCTGGCAGTCGGCAGAGTTAGCCTGCAAATACAGCATTCTAACCACTGCGCCGCCACAGCTCAAAGCAACAACACTGCCATATGAAATGTATGGACGAGGAATGAGCACTGAAAAGGTCTTGAGAGGAATGAGGAGACAAGCGAGGATTTGCTGACAAACAAACATTTATTGATAGGCTGCCATCGCTAGACAAAGGACACTTCCTACAGGAGTTTAGCACTGCTGCTGCGGGTGGCGGTGGCAGAAGCATCCCTCTCCTCCAGATGGGTAGGTGGGATTCTGGCAAGAACTTCCAGTTGATCCTGAGCAGTGAGTTTCAGTTGATATTGGCCACTGAGATCCAGTAGATCCTGGGCACTGAGGTCCAGCTGACCCTGGGCACTGAGGTCCAGACAAGGCATAACATGCTGATGACTCACATGACTTTGAGCAACTTGAAGTACACTGGCAGGATACCGGTGGGATGCATGGTGACTGCTTGTACTGCTGTTGAGACATCGTCAGCTCAAGGACAACTGAAAAGATAGAGAGCAAAAATTAAAAAAAATATATTTTTTTAGAGACACATAGAATAGCACAGATCTCTCCATGACTTGTCTCAGGATCCCTGGGAGGGAGAAAAAAACCTTGTTCTGGGCTAGGGTTACAACCAAAATGTCCTCCAGACTGTGGGCCATAAATTTGATTGGGGTCACAGGCCACAGTTCATTTGTCAACCTGGTCGCCCTAGCTTGTTCAGAAAAATCACAGACCTATTTTCATCTTCATTCGAGTGGGGAAGAAACCTTAGTCCTTAAAGATCCAGGTTCCTGGAGATGGAGAGAGAGGGAGAGAGGGGGGAGATGGAGAGAAGAAGAGGGACAGAGGAAGAGAGGAGAGAGACAGAAAGAGGGAGAGGGAGAGACGAAGAGGGAGAGGGGAGAGAGGGAAAGGGAGAAGGAAAGAGGAAAAAGAGAGAGGGAGAGAGAGGAATAGGTTGAGGAGGATAGATGAAGAGACAGCGAGAAATTATTGTTTTAATTACAATAAGAAGAAGCAACACAAACTAAATAGAACCAAAAAGAAGAAAGAGAAAAGGAAAAGCTAAAATTGAAAAAAAAAGTAAGAAGATAAAAAGATAATAATATATCAAGAAGTGGTTTCCAACTTTCCTCAGAGCAGCTACAAGTACAATTATGTTTTAACCTCTCTCTCAAAGGCTCCAGACACCATGACTCATTTCTTTCTCAACCTTCAAAAGAAGGACTCCAAAGTGGAGATCAAAGAGAATCTCGTGGAGCAAGCAGGACTAGCTGTCCACCTTCTGAAATCACACCGCCGTTCAGCTAATGAGCATCACCATAATCTAAAACAAACTGAATTCCTAACAACTATTTTGGGAAGGGCCATTCGCTAAGTAGGAACATAAATAACTACATCTGAAATCTCAGCTTCTAATCTTGACCCATTAGTTGAGAAAGAGGACTGAGCAATGCTGGAAAAGCTTTTTGACTGAGAATCGTGGTCACTCAAGTGCCATCTACTGCACAGAAGAGGACCTCAGCCTGAATAAGCTTTTCTTCTCTGTGGAAGATGAAGAAAAATCTGCTTGAGGTCCAACCCATCCTAGATAAAATAGCCTTGCTGTTTTCTATAATAAGCATCCAGCCAAAGGACCATCAAAATCCCATTAATTCAATGTTGGGCATCTCTCAACCTTGAAAACATAATCATGGCATGAAAGGAAGTAGATCTTGAGGAATGGGTACCTAAGTTGAGTTTGCACCTGCTTTCCAATGGACATGGTTGCAGAAGACCCTGTCTAGATGGTTGCCTGAACCAACTTACTAAGAAAATTGTTGACCCTTGAGTAAGAATTAGGCAGAGAAAGAGATGTCCCAAAGCAAACAGATCCGACTTACCCACGACTTGATGACAGACGGAGATGCTAAAGGAAGGCTCGAAAGCTTTGTCAGGTGTTCAAAGGAAAGATCTTATATAGCTCCTTGTGGCATAATTCATCGAGAAACACAGAATGACAAGATCTGTGTCCTTCGCAAAGATTGACAGAAAGAGAAGCCACCCTGGTGGCATCACGGGGCTTTCAGCTCCTAAATTTCCCTTTCTTTCTGAAAAAAAAACCAATAAAGGACAGAAGAAGCATCCACCCATGTGGAGAACAACGTGTCTCTCTTAATGAGGCTTTGATAGATGGTTGAGCTATGGCTAATGAAGCGTTCATAACTTTGTCTTCCTATCTCACATGGTTTGGGAAAGCCAGCCTTGGCTGATGATCATCGGCTTCAACTGGCGTCATGGGGGGATGAAGGCCAGAAGGAAAAGATCCAGGCCCAAAGGAGAAGGTCTAGGAGATTCTGCATCTGGAATACATCCCCCTAAATCTATGTGCAAATTTTTAGAAGGCTTAGTTACCTAAATTAATTAAGTCGGCCTCAAGTGGAAGCAAAGTGGTCCAATTAAAGTCAGCTTAGAAGAGAAAAAGGATTATCCATTAGGTTATGAAATGTTCCCTTACCACAAATCTGCTATTTAAGGTTCCCTCTGTTGTGGTGATTGTCTTTATTTCATTCTTCAAGGAATAGCCTAGAACAAAAAGCAAATAAAATGGTGAGGTTCTTTAGATGCATCAAATCCAGCCAGAAACTTAGGAATTATTCCAGTAATGTCATTATTGTTTCTTTCCTCCTCCTGCTATTCATCTACTTCTTCTCCTTTTCCTTCTCCCAAACATGTTTGACCTTTAGCAAATAAATAAATTCCAGGAGAAGGAAGGACAGTCTTGCAGAAGGATATTTAGGTAGCTAGGTTTTGACCAACATGTGACCTTGGAAAATCACCCAGCATTCACTCTGAGCAGAGTTTGACCATCTCAGAAGACGGCGACTGAAAAAAAGGGTCCTTGACTGGTGATATGTGAGAAGGCCAAAGAGGAACTAGTTGAGCGAGAAGACACTAATGATGGTGGCCACCACATTTGACTCGATCACTCAAACTCATCACTCTCTGAAGGAAAGTTGCACGCCCTCATTAAATCGGACGTGTTTTCAAAACAGGGTGTTTAATTATGGAAGGAAAAAAATTGTTAAAAATCACACAAATCCATTTGAGGCAAATCTCTTGATGACAAGGGGGATGTTGAAGCTGCATGAGTCTTCAGTCACTCACGTTGACTTCCTGGGTAGGTTAGAAGTGGAAGGACCTCAACGGGTATAAAAAGACCAGACGCAGCTCCGGATTCAGCAAGCGTTCCTCTCCTGCCTGGACTAAGTTCACACTTCGTGTTGGGTAAGTTGACTTCAGGCCGGTTGTCCTTTGAGCAGTGGGTAAACTGCTGGATCTGGCACAGAAGGAAGGAACTGGTGGAAACTTGGATTTGGCACAGAAGGAAAAGTCTGAAATCCTTTTCGGTTCTGGTGGACCAGCATATGGAACCAAACATAGTTTTCCTTTGAATTTTGGAGGGAGGAAGTTGCAAGAGGAAAAAAAAGGCAGAGGAAAAGCATGGACTTCTCCTGAAGATGGAGAGATCCTTCAACTTCTGGAGACCATAGCTTTATTCTCCTGGAGGATTCCAGGGCTGGTGTTGGTGATTGAGGAAGGGGTTTTCATGGGCTTCTCTTTTCTTCCAGACCACCCAAAAGACAAATCTACCATGCAGCAGTGCAAGCAGCCTCAGGGATTCCCCCCAATGGGCCAGAATGTCAACCAAGGCAAAGGATCAACTGGCGGCCAAACCCAAGGACAAGCTATGCAGCAGAACCAGGGATCAGCTGGGAATCAATGCAGGAGCTCGGGTGTGAGCCAGTGCCAGGACTCCGCACCATCCCAGTGCCAGGGCTCAGGAGTGACCCAGATCCAGTCGTCAGGGCTGAGCCAGGTGCAGGCACAGGGTGTAAGCCAGATGCAAGGATCTGGAGTGACCCAGATCCAATCTTCAGGATTGGGCCAGTGCCAGGAATCTGGAGTGAGCCAGTGTCAAGGATCTGGCATCAGCCAGTGCCAGGGATCTGGTGGAAACCAGGGCAAGGGATCAAGTGGAGGCCAGGGCAAGGGATCCTCCAGGGATCAGTGTGGCTGCTCACCTGTGAGCCAGGGCAAGGGATCATGTGGAGGCCAGGCCAAGGAATCTCCCGTGGACCAGTGCGGAAGCTCTGATATCAGCCAGGGCAAGGGATCGTGTGGCGGCCAGGCCAAGGGATCTCCCGTGGACCAGTGCGGAAGCTCTGATATCAGCCAAGGCAAGGGATCATGTGGAGGCCAGGTCAAGGGATCTCCTGTGGACCAGTGTGGTGGCTCCAGGAGCAAACACTAAGGATCCATCGAGGGCGCAGAGCACAACAGGCACTGCCAAATTGACCGCCAAGGATCTAGCCCGTGCTAAGGGGGCTTAGGCCACTTATCGCTCCAGAGGAATCCAGCGACCAAGAGGGTCTTTGCAAGTCTCCCATCTTCTCTCTGTTATCCTTGACCTTCGCTCACCTCTCTACTCTTCTGGTTCATCGGATTCTACGCCAAGCTTTCCAGCCGCCCCCAGAGCCTGGACTTGTCCTCTACTTTCTCTGCCACTCCATGCAATCTGTTGGCTTCTCTGACATGGTCCCCACCAGGCCACTTGTCAATAAATCTTTTTTCCAAGCACTCTGGAATCTCTCATTGTTGACTTGGTTGGTTGAGGGCAGGGAGGGTCGGGGAGAGCTGAGACACCGCAAACATTACGCTTGCTTGTGATTTGCCGCCCTGCGGTGGCAGTATGCCATGAACTCTGGGGAGCAAGGAACGGGAGAAGGGAATGCTTGGGGGAAACCGAAAGTAGCTTCTGAATCTCCCTGAGATGTCGCCTCAAGGTCATCCAGCTGGGAGAAGACGGCAGCTGCCTACCAATCTAAGCTTGGAAGTGACCGTTCTGAAAACATTCTGATCGGTCATGGGGGACAGGGATGGGATGACCAACGAGAGAAGGCAGTTAAGGGAGGGAAAAGTTTAACTGAGAGATTTTTGGCCCTTGGTTCTCAGCTCCGGGCTTTGCACCACTGCCACACACTTGACTTCTAACACAACGATGCCTTTCTCAGCACAATGAGCCAAGGATCTACTTAGAGGTTTAAGCAGTGGTTGGTCTGACAAAGCATAATTCTGGTTTTCCTGCTTTGACAGAGCTTGTTGTGGCCTGTTAGGTGGAGAGAAAGAAGGGAAGAAGCCTGGGTGGGTACGGAAGTGAAGACGCTGCGCCCACAAAAAACAAACAAAAAGAGATCTTCCTGATCTCGTAATTATGTATAACTTAAATTTATAACCTATCGGAATGTCATCCTTCGTGAACGTTCTTCCTTTCAGCTGGCCCTAAGGTACACTGCCCCGGTATCTAGAGGTTCCATTTATTTATTTATTTATTTATTTATTTATTGAGCATTTAATGACAGTTCATTTAGGGACCGTTCAAAGTTACAACCGGCACTGAAAAAAAGTGACCTAGGATCGTTTGTCACACTTAACAACCATTGCAGCATTCCTGTGGTCACATGATTTATATTCACATACTTGACCACTGATTCGCATTTGTGACAGTTGGGGTCATAATGATCCCCTTTTACGACCTTCTGACAAGTGAAGAGAATGGGGAAGCCGGAATCACTTAACAAAACCTGTTACTAATTTAACAACTCCCCAATCAAAATAACTTTCAGGTCTACGCACTATAAAATAATTTGGGGGTGGTAGACTAGAAGACCTTGAAGGTCCCTCCCGATCCTGTGATTCTAGGATTTCTTGAAAACAGGCAAATAACGACAGGGCTTTTGATGAACTTAAGAAACAGCCGCAATCCTTCAAGATGGAAGTCTGGGGTTCTTTTTCTGACCCAAATTCTAGACAGCTGCAGATTTTTGACCCTCTGCTAAAAAAGCTAAAACATGTTTGGGCAAAGCTCACCGGGAAGGTGGATCTTGGCAACGTGGTTTGTTGTTATTTTTCCACCATCATCAAAATAATAAAATAAAAATCTGTCAACATGATTTTGGCAAACGCCCCATTTCCTTCGGGTGACTTGCTGCTCTCTCTGGGAATAATATATGTATTTTTAAAATAATAATAGTAATGATTATCGGATAAACCGGGGCAGATTAAAAGTGGGCCATTTTTCACTCTTTGGCTTCAGCAGGGGGCAGCCTGGGCCCCTGGTGCGATTAGGAAGCTAAGCAGGGTTGGCCCTGGGTCAGGTTTGAATGGGCAACTTTCAGGAGTCCGACCACTGTAGGTTAAACTACGAAGTGGGGGAAAAAGAGGCCATGACAAATGTTCACAGAGGCCTTTGGAGATGTTTGCAAAGTCACAAAGAATCCATGGGGATTCGTAGGAGATTCATTTATTCATTTTGAGATAGTTTGAAGTTACACAGCACTGGGTGGGGGGAATTAACCTAGGACCGTTTTAATGAGAGGAACTTTAAATGTCTTAATTATTCATATTTTTGCCTGGCTCCCAATTTTGTAAGGTAGATATAAACCATAACTCTTCAGAGATTGCGTAATGCCACGAGATAAAGTCTTTATTTAATACAAACCCAAGTTCTGGGCCTTTTGTTCTTTGAAGATTCTTTTTGCTTACATAGCTTTTGTTTCTTTTGAACAAAGACATCCCTGCCTATCACAACCACAAATCCCAGCAATTTACACAATTTTAAAGAAAGGACACAGCCATTGAAACGAGAGATGCACAAACATCTGGAAATGAAGAATTGAGAGATGCCTGAACATCTGGAAACTTTGAAGAATGAAGAGATGCTTGAACATCTGGAAACTTTAAAGAATTCAGAGGTGCGCAAACATCTGGAAACTGAAGAATTGAGAGATGCTTGAACATCTGGAAACTTTGAAGAATTCAGAGGTGCTCAAACATCTGGAGACTTTGAAGAATTGAAAGATGCTCAAACATCCGGAAACTGAAGAATTCAGAGGTGCTTGAACATCTGGAAACTTTGAAACAATGCTCCCCAAAACCGAATGCACGAAGAGGTCAGTGCTGAACTATTATGGAATGCTTTTTCATCATGGTGGATATGGGATTCTTTCAACAGCCTTACTTACAGCACGGATCGGGACACTTGCAATCGCACGGACAAACGCCCTGTGGTTTCACGCAGATGCTGTCCACGGCCGGTCCTGTGCACTTTGGAACACATGGAGGAGGGCAAACGGGGATGCAGGGCTCCCCGATAACTTTAACACCTGGGCTTACACAAACGGGCACGGTCGGAGAGGGACAGGCCGGCACGCACACCTTGCATTGTGTAGAGCTTCCCTTTCCACAGACGGGAGGTGGGAGACAAGGCTGCTTGCACTGCTGGTACGGAAAAGACATATTTTCTTCTTCTTTTTTTGTAGCAAAAAGGATCAATCTGTGAAAATAAGTAGAAGAAAAAAGGTCATTCCCGGATGGCACATCCTCAGAGGATGTCAGACACTCATGAAGGTAGCTTGAAGGACATTGAAACTGCTGAGAAACATTGTAAGTTTCGTCTCTGCTGTGATAAGAACAAAAATGCTGTTTTCTCCAGGATTCATTTCAACTCTTCTCAAAACACAGACCTTAGGTTTCTTGCCACCCTTAATGGATCTATTCTCCTGAAAATATTGACCTAGGACTTTGTCTCCTGCTTTTTACTTGTGTCTAATTCTTCTATCTTGTTCTTTTCCCGTTTGTTTTCTGACTAGTGGAATTTTAACTTAAATCCACTTCCGACTGGCAAAGTAACCTCAAGAAATATCACTCCATAAGGATAAATTTACCCCATAAATTCTATGGCTACTACAGGTGGCCAGTCGCAACCTTCTCCAATGTCCTAATCCATCCTAAGAATGGATTAAAGAAAAATGCAGGAGCATGCCAATAGCTTCCTAGAAGCCATAATTCCATTCAGCAATGACCAAAATCAACACATTTCGGACTTACCTAAACCAATCCCAATGTTGAGAAGAAACATCAACCTCAACCAAGAACCTCTTTTTATACCAGTTGCTTGAAAATGAACTCCAGAAAGGAAGCACCCTTAAGCTCTAGGAACTTGTGATGGTGGTTTTTTTTTTCCCTAGATGACTTCAGGATGTTACTCCTACATAATGTTTAAATTGCTAGTTGGAAATAATTATTCCAATACTTTTTTTTTAATTGAATGGAAATCTCCCAGTCTTGAGGGCTCTTGGTCACCTGACTTAGCTTTGAAGTGGATCCTTGGAACGTTACAATGCCCTATCTTCGCTCTCCCTATCAGCCGCCGACAAGTGTCATTCGCAAAGGAATCTGATCCAACTCATCTTTTCAAAGGCAGCTGATTTTGAAAATTGCTCAAAGGAAAGGGGAAAACACTTTGGAAGACAACTGAAAAACATTTTGGACATTTCAAGGTGAGAACATTTGATGGGCTGCCACAAAAAAGAGGAGGTCCACCCATTTTCCAAAGCCCCAGAAGGCAAGACAAGAAACAACGGATGGAAACTCATCAAGGAGAAACGCAACCTGGATTTAAGGAGAAATTTCCTGACAATGAGAACAATTAATCAGTGGAACGGCTTGCCTCCAGAAGTTGTGGCTGCTCCATCATTGGAGGCTTTTAAGAAGAGATTGGGCAGCCATTTGTCTGAAATGGTCTAGGGTTTCCTGCTTAAGCAGGGGGTTGGACTAGATGACCTCTGAGGTCCCTTCCAACTCTGCTATTCTGTTATTCTCCTGTTCTTTTTTCCTTCCCCTTCCTTCCTTCCTTCATCACTGGAGGCTTTTAAGAAGAGATTGGACAGCCATTTGTCTGAAATGGTATAGGGCCTCTTGCTTGAGCAGGGGGTTGGACTAGAAGACCTCCGAGGTCCCTTTCTGTTATTCTGTTCAAGAAATGTCCCGGAGAAGAGTCAAATTAAGAACGCATCCCAAAGAGATTGCGCATATAAGATTCTTCTGAAAGCTTGGAAGCAATGCACCAAGCTTTAAATGTGTGTTCTATTATTGATCGTGTTTAGATAAAATCCAATAAAAGTGGATTTATTCCTGAGGATTGTTACTTTGGAAACACAATATTCAAATGGAAATCAGGGGAAATGAAGGGCTGCAATCTTACACAAGACATGTTAGCCCCCCCCCCCCCAACTTTTAGGAGGGAACATATTCCAACAAGACAACAGGGTTAGAATGGAACTGAACTGAAATCAATTTAAAATTTAAAAGCTCTGGGTGCCTTAAACTGTGTTTTTTTTCCCTTTGGTTCATGTTGCAATGAGATTCAAATCACGTTTAAGAAAGGTTCACAGCCCCTCCACTAAACTGAATTAAACTAAAACTAAAGTAAACTAAGCTAAAAACTAAACATTAAATTAAACTGGATTAAACTAAACTAAATTAAACAAAACTAGATTAAACTAAACTACATTAAGCTAAACTAAATTAAACTAAATATTAAATTAAAATAAACATTAAACAAAAGTAAATTAAACTAAACATGAAAGTAAATAAACCAAACACTGAACTAAATTAAACGAAGCAACATACTAAATCAAACCCAATTCAATTAAACACTAAATTAAACTAAACCTTCGGTTTAAGCCAGGAGATTTCCCCGTTTCCAGCTTTCTGACATCTGAGAAAGAAAAAATCTT